GTGCGGGGCTGCGGAGGCCGCACGGTCCGGCCCGGGCGGGGCGGAGGTGCGGGCTGGGCCCGGGGCCGGTGCCCGCCCCGCCGCGTTCGGCTCGTGGGGGCGCAGGGGAAGTGGGTGTTTTCATCGGGGCGTTTTTATTGCCGCACCGGCGGGCAGAGTTTCGGGCTGTTTTATCGCGCTGCCCCCGCGATGCACCCGGCGTTGTGTCTCTGCCGGAGCTGGGCACGTGTGCCCGGGCTGTCCGCCCTCTAGCCCGCTCTCCTGCCCCCCTGTACCTTTCAAAACTGCTGTCGTAGGCTCCTCCAGTGAACTTCTTTTCTTTTCCAGCAGGAAGAGTGGTTTTGCATTGGTGGGCCCAGCTCATTAGTGCTGTTTGGCGCAAATGTTGGTGTTTATTTATTAGGGAGGTAGGGAGGGTGTAGCCAGGTGGGGGTCGGGCTCTTCCTCCAGACAACCAGTGACAGGACGAGAGGACACAGCCTTAAGATGTGCCGAGGAGGTTTAGGTTGGACATTGGGAGAAATTTCTTCACAGAGAGGATGATTAAACATTGGAAGGGGCTGCCCAGGGAGGTGGTGGAGTCGCCGTCCCTGGAGGTGTTTAAGGAAGGACTGGACGTGGCACTTGGTGCCATTGGTCTGGTTGACCAGGTGGTTATTGGTTACAGGTGGGACTCGATGATCTCAAAGTCTTTTCCAACCCAGTTGATTCTGTGAGACCTGAAATTTCCACACGGAAATAACATTTGCTGAGAAGTGCTTTTCAGTCTTCAATGAGAATAAGGGAATGATCAAGTTTCCTTGTAAAACTCAAGTCTTTAGTGTGTCTTCAGTGGTATTTAATATTCAATCAAATTTTAAGCAGCACTTACTGTAACCATCATGATGTGTTAATTAATCTAAGTGTGGAGTGTAAACAGTACTAGCAGTGTATAGATAGGCAAAAAATAACTGAATACTTTGTGAAGAAGAAATTGTGCAGTTCTTAGGCTTTTGGAACAGGCTTTGTTTTTAAAGTTTTATGGATGTTGGTATCAGTTGAGTCCTGTATCCTGGGGGTGGTGGTGTGGGCAAACCCTGTAATGCTACTTGAGAGTGGAGTGGTAAATACTGAATTGGGTGATGAGAAATACTAAATCTATGTAGACAGCAGTCTCTGTCCTCCACATGAATATTTTGTGGTAGTCATTGACTGAGGAATGACACAAGTTTTCTCTGCCTGTCATTTCCATGAGAATTGGCCTGAGACTTGTCTGGTCTCATGGCCTCTTTCTAAGAATAGCTGATGTGAGGTGGTTCAGAAAAAAATAAACTTACAGGTGTTAAACTTGGGATAATCACAGATATTAAATTTGGGAAAATCCCCTCTATCAAATTGGGCTCCACTGCAATTTCCTATGGCTAAGCTTGGTTTAAACCTTGAATCTGAATGCTTAAGTTCCTTTAACAAGACTCATTTTAAGAGGGCTCTGACTGGTTTTGATCATCCCCTGAATAAAAAGTCCATCTCATTAATGTCTTGTGGCTTCCTGTGGCAGTAAGTAGCAGTTTCAACATGTGAAAAATGTTTTCATCTCTCTGGTTTGTCTTTGAGCTCATGTACTGTGAGATATAATAGAGGTTTTAGAGCCTTTGGTGTTGCAGAGTGATGCTTCCTGTATGGTATCAAACACTTGTGCTTCTTTTTGTGTGATAATTCTCTCAGTGCCTCCCACAGCAGTGCATTGTGTGCACCCAGGCTTCATCTGCAGGCTGGCACCTGTCCCAATCCCCTTCCATAGCTAACCCATCTTCTCTCTTGGGCAGCATTAATTTTAAGTGGCTCAGCAGTGATTTATTCATAGGTAGTCCTAATAACATCCAGCTGGGAGGAGGAGGCAGAAAAACCTCCTTGGGTAAATCTCACTTGCTGTGGTATCAAACACAAGCATGGGAGCAAACTGAGGTGTCGTGTGTGGAATTGGCTGTGTAAGCACATCAGTTACCTAAAGAAAAGGACTTCTGGAGATTAGATGAAAATGCACATTAGAATGGAAGCAAAACCTTCTGTTCTGTGTTTATACTCTACATCTGCTTAAGATACCTGCATGTCAGAGTGTGAGCTCTTTGGTAGCTTGACAAGCTCACTCCAACTCTGCTCAATGTCAGTACTGCAAGGTACCAGATTTTTAAGTGGAATAAGTCAGCACATTGGCCCAAAATAATAACCAGCTCTAGAGTGTAGCTCAGTGTCAAATATGGAACTAAATATGACTCTTATCAAGTCTTCTCATGGAACTGAGCATTAGAAAATCAGAAAGTAATATTTGCTGTGCATGTTTTAAGAGTAGTTGCTATCATGAGGAAAGGCACAGGCCAGAATAAAGTTTGCTGCTACCATAATACACTTCAGCAATTGTTGTCTGCAGGTTGACTTGTATTACCCACTCTGATCAGATGGTTTCAAGCTGGTTTGGGTTTAAAAAAAAAAAATTGTTTTCCAAAGCAACTTAAGGTTCACTGGCCTTGGTTAAAAAACCCCAAAGAAACAAAACCCGAAAGAAACAACAAAAAAAAGCACACCAAAATCCCCCACCAAAAGCGAGCTTTCCTCACTCCCCCTCCAAAGTCATCTGTTGTGTGTTGTGACTTCCATAACTTGCCTGTGGTAACTTAAGATAGTGCTATCTTCAAAGCTAGAAAAAAGCTGTTGTCTCTTGTACAGAAACTGATGGTGCAGCTGTGGGAGGTTGTTCTTTGTCCTTTCTCCACTGTTCAGTTGCTTCCTTGTTGCTTCAGAGGAGAAAAGGTTAGGGAAGGAGTAAAGCAGAAAACCCTTCACATCAGCTCTCCTTTTTTCTTCAACATTTGCAGTGTGTCCAGTGTGGATAAGGCTCAGGCATTTCTTAAGTCTAAATGGCTGCATAATTGCTATAAATTGCTTGTCTTGTGTTCATGCAGGAGATAATACCTTATTGTACATGTACAAGACAGGATATTCTGTGCCTTGATTATGGAGTACTGCTGCTTTTGTCCAGTGTCAAAGTATCTTCCGCTTCAAAGGCCTCTGTTCAAGGTTGTTGCTCGTAAACGGGCACGGAACTCCACATCACAGTTGCTTTTTTGATAAAATAACATTTGAAAAATACCATCTTGTGTTACTAGGTTACTGATTTAAGTGGAAGATACAGAGCATAAACAGCTTTATTCAGCATTGAATCTGACAGGAGAACTGTGTGCTAATTCAGTGTGTGCCCTGCTGGATGTCACTGGTGGGCTTTTGCCATATATTCTTTTCACTTCACTTGCCTTTTGCCAAGAGATCCTCAAACTTCAAGCATGTGTATCAGGATATGTGTGTCTTAATGTGATCTTGTGTATCACTTGATAATAACCAGGTTATGTTTCAAAATATCTACAGTTCTGAAGCTGAAAGTAGCTTGCTTTCTGAAGTAGAAAGAAAAGGGTAAGCTGATAAATATTCAGACTTTGAAAGGTAAGAAAGAGTTAGAACTTAAGTGGTGCTGCTGTTAAAATGTCTTCTATTCCTGCAGAAGTAAAGCTGCTATAAACAACACCTCAAGCAACACTACTGCTTCTGTTACATGCTTATGACAGTAGTAGTAGATTATCTCACTGTCTGTGCTGCTGTAAAATGCTCCAGTTGCCTTTTCTTTGGATGTGAAGTGCAGTACCCTTGTGGTAAAGACACCTTTGTTTAGACCAATCACCACCTCGGCCTTCAAATCAGAACAAATACAAATTTAATTTTCATCCTCTTTCTTAGTTCTCTGTATCTTCAAGAGATACAGAAGAAAAAAGTTAACTTCTTGTGGTAACACGAAGATGCTCCTGTTGATGAATTCAGTCAAGCACTGACTATAGTCACAGTGCTGAATAGGGTGTGGGACCTGGCTGCTCAAATTGAGAGCAGAAAGGGAAGTACTGCCAGTGTCTTCTGTTAACGCAGGCAGAATCTGATGTAAAGCTGACTCTGGTTCATTAGAAATAGGAAGGCTCTTAAATTCCAGTTTTTCCCCACCTGCTGCTAAAAGACAATAGGTAAAGTTTTATAAGAAAATAGATACATCTGCTGAGATCGTTGTTGGTATCATCTAAAGCATAGTCTCAAAGTTGTAGCAGCATTATGCTATAACCAGCACGTTTTTCACATCAAAAATAAGGAAACCAATGCACATGGAATCAGCCAACACAGCAGATACTGTGTGTTTCAGTAAATGCTTTAACTTGGTGTTGCTGTTAAAAAACCTTCTCTTCATGGCCCCATTTGTAGTGTTGTATGTTGCTGGGGCATGAAGTAATAGGTGAATGGTAAACTATCCATCAGCTGGGCTGGTTTTCCAGCTTATTTGATGTTTTACAGTCTAAACTGCTCTCCCAGCACTATGAACATGTCCCATGAAAACCAGGGGATGGAAGAGCAGGGCTGGTAGCTCTGTAAGCTTAGTGCCCATTAGGGGAAGGGGGCTTTGGAAGCTGTGGTTGGTGTTGGCATTGCTGAATTGTTTCTAGCTGTGCTTTAATGGAGATGTGCAGCAGTCACAGTGTATGGCATCACCTCAGGAGTGATTTATCTTCTCCAAAGCACTGCTGTGGGTTCAGGGGACTGCAGACTGTGACCAGTGTTCTGGCACAGACATAATTCAGCAAGTCTGTTACGTGATGTTTCAATATTGATTGTTGCACACAAGTCCCAGCACTGTCATTTGCTGTTCCTTGAAAGTCTGATATGTCATGGAATAATTAAAGCTTAGCAATTACAGCAAACTTCTGCTGGCAGAACATACTTGTTTCACAGTCTGAATTTTTCTAAGGGTTTGTACCTGTTGAACTGCCTGGGAAATAGGGTCATGTAGCCATGGCTGCTGCTTTTGCCTTATGCTTAGATCAATTTTGGAAGACCTGCACTTTGTGTGATTAATTATTTATAGAAAGAGCTTTAAGAGGTGCAGCCACTCTAATTAGCAGACCTGACTTTTTCTGTTGACTAAATGGGCTTCTTAATCAGTTATTGTGCATAGTTTGAATATTACTGAGGCACATTGAGTCAGGAGTGTTGGTTGGAAGGAATCTTTATCTTGTATGACCTTCTTCAAGCAGGTGTGTTGCCAGTGTTGGATCAGATCAGCCTTGGTTTTGTCCAGCTGGGTGACTGAGAAATTTTAAGAGTGGAGTTTCACTGCCTGTTAGGGAGTGATGAAGGCAAGAACAGTATTGCAGGGCACTCTGAGTGGAAGAGTATAGTGGGGAGATATGGTCTGTGACTCTTATTGGGGAGGTTCCAATTACAGAACAAGAACCCAATTGACTATGGGGAATAACAGGGGTGTGCAATATTCTCTAACCATTAAACCAGTGTTAAACT